CGATGGGACGCAACGCGAGGGGCCCGTGGGGCTCTCCTCACGTGGGCCAGACCCTCACCTTGCGCGGCTGAGGTCTGGGGCAGGGGCTGTCGAAGAGGAGGCAGCTGAAGGCGCCGTAGATGCCGTCGCTGAGGTGATACACGAGGCTCTTCTTGCTGCCAGACTCCTCCTCTGGAGGGGAGCAGGGAGAGGGTTCAGGGGGCTCAGGCACTTGGGCGGGCCTGTCCCACTGTCCCACCATCCCAACATCCCACCGTCCCATTGTCCCACCGTCATCCCACCGTCCCACCATCCCAACATCCCACCACCATCCCACCGTCCCGTCATCCCACCATCCCACCGTCCCATTGTCCCACCATCATCCCACCACCCCACCATCCCACCATCCCACCGTCCCACCATCCCACCGTCCCATTGTCCCACCATCATCCCACCATCTCACCATCCCCACCATCATCCCACCATCTCACCATCCCCCCATCCCACCGTCCCGCCATCCCACCGTCACCCAACTGTTCCACCATCACCCCACCACCATCCCACCATCCCACCTACCGTCGGAGCTGGGCTGCTCCACAGGAACCTCCTCCCTGGCAGTGATGCTGGCAGCAAAGGTGAAGGCGGAGGTGACGTAGTATCGCCCGGGTGTCGCAACGATCTCCACCCCGCAGCCGTCTGGGAAATACAAGTCCAAGGCAGAATTTATCACGGCAGCGATCTGGACGGGAAGAAGATGTTCCCCCTCGGTTAGCTCGGCCCCTCTGCAGGGTGCCAGATCCAGGGAGACCTTCCAGCCTTGCTCTCTGCCTGCTGAGCGCAGGCGTCGGGAGCCACGCACCTCTTCAAACCGGGCTCTGGTGTCCTCGGTGCCGGGGAATCCCCCTCCGATGTCCAGGAGGCGCATCCGGTAGCCCAGCCATCTAAAAGGCCAGCTGCGCCGCGGCCACAGCCCGGGCGAAGGCCTGGGGCTCCAGACCGCGGCTGCCGAGGTGAAAGCTGAGGGCACAGTCCCTGTTTCAGCGGGGTTCGCTCGTCCCCGGGGAGCAGCGAGGGGACACCGCACCGGGATTATCACTCACTGCGGGCAGCTCTGCGCCTCCCACACACCAACCCAAGCCAGACTGCCTAGCCAGCCCCCCAGACCCTCTCTGAGGGCCAAACTTGCCCCAAACTGGTCCCAGCAAGGGTCAACTCCCCAGGTCCAGCCCCCACCCCACCCCCAGCCAGAGCAGTCGGTGGGTCCAAGGACCCCTGCGCTGTTCTAGCAAGGCAGAGCTCCCCATACCCGGGTCAAACAGGGGCGGAGAACCCCTATGGAAAATGGACCATGTGCTGTACCTGATGCCAACAACCTCCACAGCCTGCTCCTTCGCCATCTCTAGCAGGTGCCGGCAGGACTCGAGCGTGGTCCCAAACGTCATGCTCGGATGGGCAGAAGGGCTGGAGTCAGCAGCAATACCCAACAACATTCTGCAGGGCAAAGGCGCACCGTGCTGAAGCATCTTCGGGCCCTCTGCCACCCCACAGCCACCTCCCCAGCTCCTACCCCTGCCTCCCACGGCTGCCAGGCACCCACCTGGCATGAGGGTGGCTCCTGGCCACCTTGCTCAGCTCCACCTCGTTGTCGAAGGTCATCAGCTGCACACCGTGGCTGGCTGCGTATCTGATGTGGGCAACCTGCTTGCAGGGGCTGCTGTAGAAGATCTTGTCAGGCGGTACCCCGATGCTCCGAGCCCGTGCGCTCTCTGCCTGCAGGGAAACGGCATGCGTGCAGGCAGGTCCCCGGGACCGTGGCTGCCCACGCCTGGCCACGACCAGCCCCGGGCCAGCCTGCGGCGTTGCGAAGGACAAAGCACCAGCATTGCAGCCTGGGCTTTAACAGGGAAAATCCGCAAGAGCTCAGAGGGATCACGGAGGGCTTTGTCCTGGCAGGGGCCGGTTGCGGCAAGATGTTTGCAAGCAGCATGGGACCAGTGGTTTATGGGTGCTTGTGTCCCCCGTGAGCCGCAGGGAGGGTGACTGGACAGGCTGGAGAGTTGGGCAGAGAGGAACCTGATGAGGTTCAACAAGGGCAAGGGCAGGGTCCTGCACCTGGGGAGGAACAACCCCAGG